TTATTACTGGTCGATTAAAGATTCACCATGGATCATTCAATTCACTTGCCTTCGAGTCAATTAATGATATAAATCGAGAAGAGCTAGTTTTAAAGTCACGTCTGCATCAGAAGATAACCGGTCCCAAACAGTTCACCAATGTTTCTTCAATGGCTAACATTAATCTTACAGGGAAATTAAATGGATACGATTGGAACCATCTGGTCAGACATTCAATCAATATTCACAGACCCTCTTCAATGATATCCAGCCTTCAGTTTGATACTGCACCATCGATAAAAACATTGCAAGCTCGATCAGTGAACAATTTGATAATCGAAAATTTAAACCATGGATTAACACCAGAAGAATTGAACCATCTTTCAGGGTCTAAAACATTCAAATCACTGGCAGCATCTAGAGTTACTTTAAATGGAAAACTCAACAATCTTCAGTTTCCAAATGATTTGGTTACTTTACGAACTTTGAACAGCATGCCAACTATAGTTTTGGATGGTAATATCTCATTTGCTTCAAGTTTAACAATAGCTAAAATAAACGACATTGATATAAATCGTGATGTAGTTCGTCGAAGTGCAATAGAGCCTCAAGTTATCCATGGTACCAAAATTTTCGATAGTAGTATTAAAGTATCCAATATCATCTCAAAACAAACAAAGCTCAGACGCATCAACCTAAATGATGTTGAATCAATGATGTACGACCAATCAATTGTTAAAAGAAGCAACGTTGTCTATGAAGATCAATTGTTTATTAATGGAAGTCTTCAAGTTGACGAGATAAACGGTATTCAAATCAACTCGTTATTAGACAGCTTATTCTCCAAATCAAGAGACCAAAAGATCAGTTGGGGCACACAATTCAATGGCTTGCTTTCTATTGAATCAGTACATACTAAAGAAATAAACGGACTCTCGATCCCAGATGATTTAGTCCAAGTCAACTCTGGTGTAACTGGCAAAAGAATTACCGGTCGTAAGATTTTTGAACATATAATTCTTGGTTCAGGAGATTTGCAAATGAAAGGCAAAATTTTGAATGGAAACCCTTGGAATTCTATAGCGGAAACAGTTATCAAAAATGGTCCTGATAATCGAAAAGAATGTTATGGGAAGAAGACATTTTCATCTATCGATGTAATGGGTAACATAATTGCTGAAAAAATTAATAATCTCGTTCTTAAACGAGATGTAATGTTAATTAATGAAAAACAAACTCTGAGTGGTAAATGGTATTTTGGCGATAATATCAAAATGAATCATATCTCTTTTACAAGTCTTAATGTAAGCACTATAAACAGCCTTTCGATCGATGATCAATTGAATCGTCTGGTACTGCATGATCAACCTTCCGTTACTTTGGAGAACAAAGATTTCCGAGGTGGCTTATTCGCTGATGATATTGTTCTGGATGGGAAAATAAATGGCGTCAATTTGACCAACATTGAATCGACTGTTGTTACTCTAGACTCTCCTCAAGCTATTTATTCATCTTTAAGATTTGAAGATGAAGTAATATTCCATCATGCAATTAATACAAGATCTGTTAATGGACATGATCTTCACGTACATTTTAAAAACGATAAGACAAGATCTGCCGCTAGAAACTTGACGATCAATGGTAATGTCTTTGTCAACGGTTCAATTATCTGTGGTACTTTGAATAACAAATATGCTGAATATTTGAAAAATTATATTCACGTGTCAAAGTATGATAATCAATTTAACAGGCCTGTGGTAGTCAATTCAACAGTAACAGTCGATTATTTGACTATCGACGGCGAAGCTCAGCTAGATGGAATTCATCCTGAAGATTTAATTCGTCTCGACCAGCGTATTGAACTAGATGGCTCATTAACTATTAATGGCAATGCTCATGTTGATTCTCAGCTGATAGTTGGATCTGGTATCATCAACAATTGTTCTCTACAGGAGATTTTAAAGTCGAGCCGTCCTGATTATTCACAACGAATTAACATTCCAGACCCAATAAATTTTAGTGAATTAAATATTTTGGGTAATTTACGGTTAATCGATCAGACAATTAACCATGTAGATATTGACCATGTTGAATCCCAGACGATTAGAGGCTCAGATGAGCAAAGTTTAAATGCATTGATTACCTTCGATGATGATATTCAAGTGGATGAGTTATATACATCAGATAAAATTAATGGAATCGATATTATGTCAATTTATGAAGACAGCGTAAAAAAATCAGCTCCGTTTCAAAAAATTACTGGGAAAAAAGTGTTCAAAGCGCTGCAAATAAAAAATGGAGATGTTCTCTTCAAAGGAAACTTAATTGTTGCAGGCTTGGTTAATAACTTCAATTTAACCAAGCTTAATAATGAAATCATCAAGCCATCAGATTCTCACCATGTTATAAGAGGTCGTAAAATATTTTACTCTGACAAACCAATCGTTTTGACCAATGTAAAAACGCCTGTCTTAGCTCAAGTCAATTTTAGTGACATCGTGTTATCTTATATGAATGAAACTATAACAACATCTACAAATTTCACGCAGCCAATAACGGTTGAATCGCTTGAGATACGCAGACACCAAACTCGTTCACCAAATACCGAATCTCTCAGCGATACAGTGAAAGTTGAATTCAAGGATCCTGTTACAGTTGAAAAGTTAATTGTGAAACAAATAAATGGCATTCCAATTGAAAAATTTGCTTCTACTACTGGATCATCCATTCTTAAAGGAAATTATTCAATTACAGGCAGAGTATATATTCGGGGCAATTTGGTCACGGGCCCACAATCATATATCAACGAAACCGATTTAACTATATTATCACATGACTTAGTCAATATGAAAGAAGCTGCTACAGCTGCTAAACTTTTAAGAGAGATTCGAATTCGAAATGAAAGCCAACAAGGATTCAGTGCAGCAGCCAAACTCGAAAAGGCAGTGGAAAAGGTTGGATCCACCGTGGAAAGCCAAATATTGGAAATACAAAGAATTTCAAGATCAATTGGTGAACCACGGTTGAAATATGAATATTTTGATTACGTTGATAATTTCAACGAATTCGATATCGATGCTGACCATATTGACAATATTTTAATTTCTCGTGATTATCGTTTGGAAGGAGATCAGTTTAGTTCATCTCCTCACAGCATACAATCTGATTTATGGTTTGGTCGATCCATTTACTTGTGGTTTGCTGATCGAACTGACTCATGTGTTCGGAGGACCTTCAGTTTTGACATTCTGGGAATTAAAAAATTGAAGGAACGATTAACCAATCGAATGGGCCAAGATTTTCCTCCTGTAATTTTTTCTATGAACAATCATTCAATCAGTCTTTCAGCCTGGAGTAACTCATCTTCACAAGAATGTGATAAAAAGCATCTCAGTTCTGGTCCAGAATACTCTCACATCATAATAGGATATACGAATGGGTCAAATCTGAATGACTCTTTCTATGCTCAAGATTCTTATGATATCATCCCGGTGCAGATTTTTTCTGATATCAAATATTTCATCGATTCTCAACAAATCTATGCAGTTACACTGCAACCTGAGTTGAATTCTGATGCCTCAGTTTTGGTTTATCGTTGTACTTCAAGGCAATTTCACGAATCTTCCAACTGTGAGCAAATTGGTTCAATCAAGAGCTCTAGAGTAGTCTCTATCGAATTATTTTATTCTACTATTTTCCGAACTACGCTATTAACTGTTTTAGAAAAGCCTCTTAACTGTTCATTCCAACCAGCAATATTTTACTATGCATGGAGCTCTAAAGAGCAACGATTTGTTCATCACGGTTCTATATTTGCTTCAAGCCCGACTGAGATGTCTTTCATTGAAGTTGTTCCGAGCAAGAAAGTTTACCTTATAGTTGCCAACACTTTAGAGGCTGGTTTTTGTTCCAAAGACAAAATCCAAATGCATAATTCAAGTTCTATGGTTAATGTTTACATGCTAAGCAATAGTGATTCTTTACTTATTCAAGCTGAACTGAGACAATCTTTCCCCTTAAATGTTATCTCGATGAGTTCTTTCAAGTTAGGACCTGGTCAAGTTTATCTCGTCTTTTCTAGTAAATCATCTGGTAAACTGTACTTTTATCAATATCATGAAGGCAAAGAATTTGTGCAAATCCAAACTCAAGACAATAGAGATGGTGAAATTGTCCAGTGCTTTTGGTTTTCATCACAAGAATTAATCATGTTAACTACAACTACGAATAAAGAAAAGGCTAAAGTGTATAAGGCATTCATAAGTGGTTTAAATAGTTTTTAATTTTTCTTAATTTGTCAACTAAAACTTTAAATTTATTCTAAAATTATTTTTGTTTTAAAATTTTTTACAGATTTGATCCTAATAAATTAAATTTATTTAATACAATTCAAATCTAGTTTTGTGTTTTGTTTTCTGAAAGATGTTTCGTCTAATTAGAAAATTCAAGTGAGAAGAAGGAAAAGCGAACTTTTTTGTGGTTCATTTGATAATTATCGCAGTCTTAACGACAAAGACAGAGGCTTTGACTAGAAAATTCATTAAATTCAAATCTTGAACTTGGGATCAAGGTGAGACTCCACAGAATTATTCCAGTCATATTGCCATTGCAAAATAATTGAGAGAATTCCCAAATTTAGAATTAAGTTTAAGTGGTTTCTCAAAGCCTGAAAGTGGCTTTCTTTTGGTGGAGGTGCTAGAAAGCATTTCAGCTCCTCCCATTCATGAGCTATTCAGTGAAAGATTTATAACCCTAGAATTCACTTCAACTGAAGATTTGTATCAATACCATGTGAGTGTAATAACGAAAAGCACCAATTTTCTAAATATGGCGATAAATTGCGCCTTACTGATCTCAATAATTTAGATCTGAGATCTCATTCGATTTCATGAGTTTCTTGATTGATATTTGATTGTATCTTAATCTCTCTCCAATAAGGATCATTGAAAATTTAGAGTTCCTGATTTACATCTGTAAGTGAATGTATAACTTCAACACACTTGATGGAATAAAAGGCAGAATTCTTGTAATATACATTCTCTTAGATGAAATGTTTCGTTTAATTAATTTATGACAGGTTAAGGTTTTAAAATTGTCAAGGCAACTATGGACAATTAATTTACACGATATTGACAGAGTTATGATTAGATAAATTTTCATTGATGGTAACATAAAATTATGCTGCATCAGTCGATCGATCCAGTAACGGACTAAAAGTCGTTTCCTTAAATTTTGAGCAACAACATACAATTATGTCGAATTCAGGCAAATAATTTCAATCTTTCCTGCAAACATAAATAATCTATGAATTCTTCCTAGGAGTTGATATGATTGGCATTGGTATCTTGGATGAATTACACTTAAGTTGTGAGCAGTTTATCACAGAATCATTTGGTTTACCATCAAATTCAGCTTCTAAGTTGATAGACTCACTACTGTTTACAATTTTACAAGGCATAGCACGTTCAACACGCGATTGATATTGATTAACAAGGTTTTCCATCTTTTTCAAAATATCGTTATGTAAATTAAGTTGATCTTCTGATTTCTTAAGATTTTCTCCAGCATTTTTTCCATCTAATTCATGGTTCTGGTGGCTATCATTATTGTTATTGTCACTATCACCCGAAGACTTAGTTTCAACAGTTACTTGTGGATTCAGTTTAGTTGAACTATTAACAGACTGACCACCATTAGTGATTTTCACCAATGTATTTAATGGAACTCGACTAGGGGACGAATCACTGCTTCTTGACCTTAGACTAGGCCTGGGTCGAGTACCAAATCTAAGAGGAGATCGACTAGATTCACAAGGCTTAAATAAATCTGGATCCAACATTGGCCTGTTACGTGATTTAAAAGTCCATGTTCTTATGGCTTCAGAATTTTCGGAATTTTGTCGATATAATTTACTGTTAGCAGATGATACATATCCAAAGCGATCTGCTCGACATGATCCAAGAGAAACTGATTCAGGCAAACTGCTACGGGGAGTATTGAGTGAATATCGACCAACAGAACCGCGAACAAATGGTGATGCATTGGTGTTGCTATTTCCAACAGCTGTTTTATTTGTTCCTGGATGGTCTGATAATGGAGTTCGGGAAGATTGAGATGATGATCGACTCCTGGGAAGAGAAGCATAATAATTACGACCCCTTTCAAAACATGAGACCGGAGTTTCCTTAACATCTGAGATATTTCGTTTTGTATTCATCGTTTTGCGATTGGGTGATGATGATATCGAATGAGCAGCTCGAGCTCTTCCATTAATAGGATTATTCCAGCTCATTTTAGAGTTAACCTGAGTTAGATCTTCACTACTTCGCGATTTATTTACATCTTGATCACTTCCAATATCCTGATTATTTGATCCTTTGTCACCATATCCTCGGGAAGACATTTTTTGCTCAGAGCGTCGATAACGACAGTTACGCTGGAAGGGCGATGAAAGAGTTGATCCATCCAATCTACCTGCAATGCCATTTGATTTGACAGTTTTATTAGTTAATTCTTTGCTTTCTAAAGTAAAATCGTCACCAGCCCAGGAAGGTTTTTGCGTACCAAGCAGGTCACTTGTTTTCATTATTTTCCTTGGTGAGCATTTGCGTGTTCTGCCACCTATTGATGTTAAAAGAGAGCAAAACATTTTAAAAATTAGTGAAATGTTTGAAAGATTCAACGTTTGATGAAAAATCAATTCTACTAGAGTAACTTGAACTCAATTGTAATCATATATTGATTTATAAATTTGCTATTCCTTGAACTCAATTGAAATCCATGCCAATACAAGTAAAACAATTAAATTTCCTAAATGTTCCACTTTCTCTTGTTCCAATTATCCTTCTGTTATTTTATTAATAGTTGATTATAAACTATTAAAATATTTATTAATAATCTTAATGGAATATATTTTTCCATCTTTTACACTTTTCTTCCTTTTTTTGATATAATTTTTTCCATGTTTTCAGGTTTCAAATAGTAATCAGAAGCTCAGTAATGACCTTCACCGCCGACGATTCATAATCCCACTCGATATTGTTTCCTTTAAACTATTCCATTAATTGGTATGTGAGTGTATCAACAATACAAGGTCAATTCAGCTAATTTCGTATTTTAATTTACTCCATTACAAAACGCAAATCACTCATTTAACTCATTTAAAAATCTATTTTTCTTGTTTTTTATTAAATTTTTGGATAAATTTATTAATATCATCAACCTACCTGTTGAACTTATGGCAGAAATTTGATTGATTTCACTTTCTGAAAACTCTGACGAGGAAGAATCATGATATGTGCCTCTTTGCGGTGTTTTCACGGCATTTGCTGTTGCAACTGATGTTGATGTTGGACATGTTTTGTTTGTCTTGGCTGTGACTGTTGTCTTTCCTTTATTTGATTTGATAGCTGATTGTGACTCTTGTTTTGATTGTAAATCATCATTCGGTTGATTATCCAATTGAGTAGGTGAAGGACTTTCCATTATTACACTTGATGTATCAGTTGAATCATCAGAATAGTGGGATGTCCGTGATTCTTGACGGTCAATAATAAGTACTTCAGGGTAACCTGAGGATGATGTTGAACAAGTAGATGATGATGAAAATCGAGGAGTGCCACTGGTTCCATTGAATCCTTGAAATTCTTGTCGAGATGTAAGAGTGCCATTAATACATTTACTTGCATTTGTCACATTATTTACAGTCGAATTGTTGGGGTTGCGATTTGATTGTGATCCCATTAAATTGATGTAATCGTCTTTCATAGGGCCACTGTTATGACGTTTTAAGTGGTGATTTGGTGAGTAAGAGTTGGATGAAATTGAGTTTTGACGTCCATTCAAATAGTTGACGGCATTTCCATTGGTCAAACCGACACTACCATTAACTTGGTTAGCATTGGGCTCATCAGGTCTTTAATAAAGAACAAGATTAAAAAATTAAAATCAAACTCCTTTGAGCATTTATTTAATAATAACTTACCGATTATAAGTGACAACCATTTTAGGCCCAGAAGATGGATCATCACCTTCAGTGAAAGTCACCTTTGCGGAGGTTGAAAAACGATGTCCTAAAAGTATGAATAAGACGAAAATAAAAGAAAGTAAATTTTTGTTATAAAAAGTGATTAAAGTATGAATAAGGCTCATCATTCATATTATGCCATAGCAAGGGTTAGATTAAGTGTTCACCTTAATCTGTCAAATAAAAGTATCTGATTGAAGCCTTGATAATGGCCATGATTAAATTGAAATGCCTTTAAATGCCATCAAATGAGCAAAAAAAGTATTAAAGTGAAATATTCAGAGTTAATCAATGTCAGAATTACTACTGCAATTATTTTCTTTTTTTACTATTAAGTGTTATTATAGTTATCAGATATCATAATCGTTTTCAGTCATCAACTGATTGTTCAGTGTGATGTTCACAAGATGATTAATTGAAGACATTTTTTGTCCTCATTTCTCTTTTCCCTGAAAATGGTTCAAAATTGTGAGTAAATAAATGACAAAGATTCTGATGTCTTCTTGATAGCTCAATGAGTTACCTGCACGACATCGACATGGATCATGGCGATCAAGATAGTGACCGAGGGTGTCCCAACCACCACCAACGCGAACCATAACGTGATTACGAAGGATCTGTAAATTAATGACATTTCGGGTAAATTTATGATTGAGAAAGGAAAGATTAAAAGAAGATTAACTGAGAAAATGTTATTTACCCGAACAAAAATAAGAACTTTAGTATCACCAATACGATACTTTCCATCAGCAACTTTGATCATTGGGAATTTTGATGGACAGGAACATCGACTCAGAATATCAACAACCTATTTAAGATCAAAATATTGATATAATTAACAAGTGTGGATCATTTAAGAGCATTAAATATAAAAAATGGTTTAAATTGACAATTAATGAAAGCATCAGACAGTTCTACTCGATTAATAACTCTATCAAACATTATCTTTGATTTAAATGAATTACAATTGATTCACAAAATTGGCAAATTCAATTTTTCATCTGTTTTGAACTCGACAACAAAAAGCACCAGAAATGGTAATATTGAATTATTCATTTCTGCTTTTCTTTTCATTGGATATTTCATTTCATGTACTTGACTTTTAACTACAAAGCAGGATGAGAATAAGTTAACATGTGGTAAGCCATGTTTATCATCATGATAATGACATTCATCTAGACAGAATCCAAAGCAAATTCACAGCAAACCTCTAGTCATTCAGTTGATCGATAGAGTCCAAGATCATTAGTTATTTTGTTTTGGCTCGACAGAAATGGTAAAGCAGACATTATTCATCAATTGTTTTGCAAGAAGAGTCAAGATTTATGATCATGAAAACATGGAACCTTAAAATAGATATAAATTGAACAAGTTTCATCAATCAGTAGACTAGAAGGAAACTGTCTCAAGGTTAGTTTCGGGTGGGATTCATACCTAAAGACAAATTATATAATGAAATAAAAATAAGAATAAGACTTTTCTGGCGAATCAATAATGCTAACAGTTAGCAACAAAATAACCCACAATTTTAGTGGACAATCATTAAAAACATTGTTTTTGAGGCGAATTAAAAGCCTTGAATCAATCTGTTCGAATATCAATTACAGATTTAAATGATTACTTGAATAAATGTGGGCTTCTTTTTAATTCCCAATTAAGGTAAAAACCATTAGTCAAGCATTGTTTTTCCGTTTTTCACAGGGAAAAGATTCTCATTAATTTCATGGGTTGTACAATTAACCTTGACTCAAGTGATATTTTCAGGCCTTTTCTCAATAATTCTGTTTCTTCTGATAATGGTTCGTATGATTTGTGATTATAATTGTCGCTTCTTAACTAATCGTCCTATTTCAACATGAAAAGTCATTTGAATTAAAGTAGGCACAATAAGGATTATCTTATTTGCTGATAAAGATGATGAAGAGGATGTTGATTCAGTTTCTTCCGGTTACAAGCTAATAATACTAATCAATTTATATTTAATTATCGTGTCATATTTGATAATCTTTAAGCTCTCAACTGCGAATCTCTAATCACATGTTTGTCTCAATGAGGTTAAACAAGCTTAATAGTCGCTAATCCCAAGTAAAGTAAATCTTAAAGTAATCAATCATATCATTACTATCACAATTTAAAACGAAGTTTGGACAGAAAGCGTGTTAATTGAGTAATTAAACGAAGGGTCATTCGCTGTTCATTTGGTCAGATGGTTTTATGAATGAGTTTTGATAAAATAATTTTGACAAAGATGTAGCTTGACGAGTAAAAGTGTCGATCAATATAATTGTAATGAAACAAATCACCTTAACAAGATTAATCATGTTTAAGATCATTCATTATCAGATAAAATATAAACAAAAGACCCACGCAAGTTTAACTTATTGTGAAAGTGCAATTTGATTATGAAAAAATTGATTCTAATCATTTCAGACTTTCCCTTTCATTCAGAATATAAACTGATCAAAGATGATTTTACCCAACATCAATCTGTGCTTCTTTATTGAATTTAATATTGATTTTTATTGTACTTTCCCTTTTAATTTAACTCGTTTTTAATGTGAAAACTCGAACTTGAAAAATTGGTTAAGATATTTTTCACTGTCAGATAAACGTTTATTGATTTTTTATAGCGACCTAGAAATGATGTTCAATTTAAACCAAAGACAACTTTATTATAAATTGAATGGATTCCATGATTTGCATGTTTGACTTATTTTTCTGTCAATTATTTTTAGGTCAATTTGATTAACTGTTAATAATCAATCATTTGAACCTGATTATGATACAAAGACAATGTCTTTGGTTTTAAAGCTTTGAATTTAATGGCACATTTTACCCAATTAGTAGTGCATATTTAGTCTATTAGGTGTCACTGTTTTCATATTCACGGCGGCGCCTTCAGCTGTTAAACATCAACAGTGAAATCATTAATAGCCTTAGCATTTTAATCAATCTAGTAATTTTCAACTTAATTTGTGATTTCATTTCAAATATCTATTTCTTCTTAAGCTATTTTCGTTATCTTAATTACTAATTTATGATTATGCCAATAAATTGTGCTCTGGTATAATTGGTTTGATCAATGACTGTCACGGAATACAATAGTTTTTGCTCTTGCCGGCTCTATTTGAGGATTCAGCTTGGATGGTAATTTGAATAGTTATTATTTTTTTGCATTTGTTTTCTGATTAATTTCTCATTTCACACACGTCAACCAATTAACTAAGAGAACTTTTCTAAACTTTGAAAATTACATAATTGTTCATTGCTTTCGTTTTTTTCTTGCAGAACTGGGATCGATCGATTGGACTCATAGCCCTGACAACTACTGGCATTTCGTTGTTGACTTATAGCTTTTTTATCCTAATTGTACCCATTTTGCCGCCTATGGAAATTGATGCTGATGAATCCTTTTTCTCTCGTGGTCTACTTTTTTGGTTAATCACTCCTCCAATAGCAATCGCTTCTATGATCTACCTAACGTCATTCATCATACTTTTTAGACTCTATATGGAATTGAAAGATGGAAAGAAAAAGCAGTGAACAAGGAAGCTGGAAACTCAATGAATAACTTGCTTGAAAAATCGTCACAATTCTATCATGAAATTTGATGATTTATATAAATGTTTACTTTTTCAAATGTTTGAGAGCACCACAAATGATGAATTGGTTAGCATGACCTGAGATTGGTTGATATTGCATGCAAATGGTTAATATTGTAAAATATGATTATCATTAAGAAAAGATGATACTTTTCTGTGAATAAAGTAAGATATATGGCAAGCAATTATAAAATGATGACAAAAATGACAATAAAAACATGCTCCTTCTACGAATGGCAAATAAACGAAAAGTAAGTTTAAAAAAGTTGGAAATCAAAAACATAATCCAACTCAAAGTCTTGTGAGCGTAAGGAAAAGCAATCACTTGATCACCAATAATTGTATGGACGAGCAAGATCTCGTCGACGAATCTTCACATTCTGAACAAATTTCTTCCATGGACTCTATCACTGAAGATCCCGAAATAATGGAACAAACTGAATTTGAAAGTTACCCAGCATTTCGAAAGTACTTCAATAGACAAATGGTAGATATTGATTACTTGGTTTATCCCAAGAAACCAAAGATTTGGTACTTTTGTTTTGGATTAACTTTTCTGGTAATTACCGGTTTAAGAGCAGCTTGGCAAGCAAGTTATACTCAACTTTCTGTCTTTTCCTATTACATTGGTGATATATCATTAGCCGCTGGCGATGCTATTCGTAAACAATTGGCTTCAATCTATTTCATTTGGATAACTGGTTCTGCTATATTAGCAGTGAATCTTTACAAAACTCAACGTGAACCATCGCTTCAACATTGGGCCAAAAGTATTGGCCAAGTGTTTCAACATTATTCAACCACTCATCATCCCATCTACCCTGGCTTACCTTACAAGTTGATTAAAATGTTTGCTATTTTTAATCAGATCAACTTTTACTCCGGAGGATCATTAGCTCTGCTCTGTTCATTGCCAACTCTCTATGTTTATCCACCAGAATATACAATCTATGCCGTCTCTTGGCTACCATTTAATGTGTTTACTGGTCTTTTTTGTGGTGCTTATGTAATTAATTTCACTTCTCTGTATTTCTTGTTTGTTTACATTTTCGCCCAACAAATGGACAAAATGTTTGCATCTTTCACATCCATTTGGACTATAGCATCACCATCGCCGCCTTCGTCCGATTCATTGTCAATAAGTGGCTCGATAATCAAATTTCAAAGCTGTTTGTTGGACATTTTGCAGCAGTTGAACAATTCAAACAGATTTTGGTTCTTTTTGAACAACATCATCTTCTTAGTTACATTTTGTGTCCAATCCATGCTTCTTTATATAATATTTTTCGTCAAAGTTCCAAGTTTCTTGTTGGCTGCTCTGATTGGCTATGCTATTCTTAATTTTTCTTGCGGTCAATCATTTCATTTCATCTTTGGTGCTTACGGACAACGAAAGGTAAAACTCTAATCATGTTTCCTAAGCTCTATTTAATACTTTGTCAATCAACCAATTTAACTGTCATTTGGTCATTCATTTATTTTAGATAGATCAACACCTGCACAAGTTGAAGCAATCACTTTACTTGGACTCAACTATAAACGCTAAAATAAAATCGATTACTTTTTTAGAGCACATGGAGAATCGACATTTTTTCAGTGTATTTGGTTCCCTTAACTATTCAACTCATCATTTGGTCTTAGTAAGTGTGTCTCACCATTTATCATGATAACCAGTCTAATTGCTTTACATTTCTTACAGGCAATCCTAGAAAGTGCGACTAATCTATTGTTGATTATTACATCACTTGGTAGAGCCAGAACTTTCATGAAAATATGAGTTACTGAGTCCTTGGTTCGAACAAACGACTCTGAACAAACATCATTATGGAAAATCTGTTAACCACAAATTGCGATTAAATAGTTTTGTTATTGATCTTCACATTCGTAAAGTAAGAACCAGATAATAAAGGAATGAAACCATTTCATTTTCTGATTCATGTATTTCAATTCGTTTTTCAATAATTATGGTTAAACTCAACTGTATTAACATGAATTTTCAGGAATGATTTAACATCAAAAATCTATTATTTACTAATAGAGTTTACTTAGAAATCAATAAAACAAGTCACTGATGAGGTCGAATAAAAGTCAAAATGAAAACAGCAAATCGTAAAGGTGACTGAAGGACTCATGAATAGTTCAGACTCATTGGTTTGTTGAAAAGTGTTTGATTACTTGATTGTAAAGTTAAGGTTAGATTATGCTGATTGTTATCCAAGGCTAGTTGATTATTTAATCCAAAATCTGATAAATTAATTTGCATTACATTGATCTATCAATTTAAAACGTTAAATAACACGAGTTTTAACATTTCAGTTTTTGACTCATTTGTTGAGAACCTGAATACAGTTTAAATTAACCCAATTCAAGGGGAAATGTCTACAATCGATTGATTTTGAGCTTCAAAGTGTTATTAATAGTTACTTGTTTATCATCAATATTCAAATAATTAGACGAGTCTCTTAATGAATGAATAGATATTCTGAGATTCTAATAATATTTTGCTCTCATTGATAATTTAATAATCATTAGATGATTAAATAAAATAGTTGACCAAATAACAACTATTAGACTTGAGGATGAAAAAGTGATTAATCAACATTTAAATGATTATTTTTAGATTGTCAAATGAACAATTGGCTAAAATGATTCAATGTTTTTGTTTCTCAATTTAATTCCGAATATTAAATGATTGTAAATACACCGAAATTGGGTCAAAATTCAAGTTCAATCGGAATTTAAATAGATTCTAATACATCTTTTGAATTGCAAATATCACTTATTAATTTGTTACTTAATCAGTATGGAAGTAAAATGTAACAAATGTATTGAAACAATTTGTCAAATTAAAGTTAACATGACATGTAATCTGTTGAGCAAGATGATGTCTACTTAATTAATAAACCAGAACGATGATGAAACTGATGATATTCAGGAATATCAGACGATTTGATATACAATATCAAACTGATGAAAGCAACTATCAGAGTTTCCTTGAATCATCATCTGTCTGGTTTCATTTAAAAAATGAATTAAACATTGAATCACTTTAATCAAGTTGCAATGCTTAACAAATCCAACTATTAATACATTAGACAATTATTTTGATATATTCTGATGAATTTCTGATTAAACAGATTTTCCAATCTCAAAATTCTTTTATTATTTTTTTCGATTTTTGATTAAGACTTTAAATCATTAGATTCAAAAATGAACTGAACTGATATGATTTCAATGCGAAGTAACTCTGATTGTCAACTCGATCAACTTTCCAATAAAATTCAGTAAAATCTGATTTTTGTCTTGCTTAAACTTGATTATCATGTAAAGTAGATTTAATTTCTCAATCTTCTGTAATTTTTCATCTCATGACAACAAATTGACTGTTTAATTGGTGCAAACAGTTTCCAACTGAGAATTACTTTTTCCAATCATGAAAGGATGAATTAAAATTATCGATCAATGAAAATGAGAATTAATAGGAAAATTTTGACATTTAATTAAGAAGCATAATTATAAAGTTAATTGTGAACAAAATGGCCACAGTTTGTCAATCGTGATTAAATGAGCTTGAAAATTGTATCAACAAATGACAGGCAATCAAAATTAATGAACAACCAACAAGATTACCTTACAAAGGTAAAGGGTCAAAAGATTCATTATTTTATTAATACTATAAATCGCCTGAAAGCAATCAAATGAAAAATTATTTAAATGATACTTTTCATTCTCAATAGATTATTTATAAATTCAAATGAAATCTAAATACAATTTGACATTAATTAACTGATACCAGGATACATCAGGTTTGTTTTCAAATCAAATTCACCAGCAATATAACTCTTTAGTCTCAACTAAATAAACAAAACATGAAAATACATTTGCTTTGAATAAACAAAATCTAGTCAATTGCCTCATCAAAAGTTCTGAAAAGTTCATCTGTCATTTTCTGGTTCATCAAAAGACACATTAAAATATTTGAAATCTCAAAGTGATTAACATGTTGATTCATGGACATGACAAAGAGATTGAAATGATTGTGACAATCATCTTATGACCCAAGAAAAAGTAAAAACAAAAAGACTTTTTTGTATTTCTTTTGAAATGATAGTTGACCATAAAAATGCTGTAACCTTTTCACAAGGGAGTTTCACTCGAGATTAAAGCTGAAAGTACATCTTGTAAGTGCAAAAAGGAGGTGAAATTAAGGGTAAAAGTTACGACCCAAAACATGTCACATCTTTTATTGCAAATGTATCCTCATCAGTTCAACGAATGATTCCTTCAACTGATTCATCTTATGAGCATTGAAATTGTCACAAGTCTTTAACATTGAGGGTGCAAAGGGCCTCTGTGATTGATTCAAATATAATCATGTTTCATGTTTTAAATCTCAACGATGTTCTTCATCATCATCACCATCATCACCTAAATTCACCTCATCAGATTATTGATGGTAAAATCGGTCTTTCCAATTATCTATGCATTCGGAATGGTTGAATGATTAATAAATCAGATTGAGTGAGCAAACAACAAGAGTAATTGAAAGATTGAAATACTATTAACAAGTTGATTTGCCACAAAATTGGTCAAATCTTGAGCTTATTATACATTTACTGATATTAATTACAAAACGATAATTTAAGGCGCTAAAACAGTTAACAGTTTTAGGTTAGTTGGAAAGGTTTGGTTAACCCTGAAAATGGAAAATAAATGATCATTTTAAATGAAAAAGTCAAAAGTGAAATCTCCGTTTTCAAGTTTCTATTGATTCCAACAAATTTGGAGTAAATCAATTTGACATTTAATTAGTTGTTAATTGAAGCTACTTGAATGTCAAGTGTATTCATTGACTGCACCAAGAATCTTTGTTATTGCTCATGAAATTAAAATTGGAACTTTTTCTTAATGAAAAAACCAAAATTTAAACTGGAATAAAACATGAAGATTAACTGATTATCTTTAGCATAATTTTATCTTCATCATGAATCCTGTTTCAGATTATCTGGACACTTTGAAAACGTGGGAAACAGAAGCTAAGATGATTTTGCTCAAAGTTAATCAACGATTCAGTTAATGATTGTTCACAAGTTATAAGTAAAGCATGAATGTCATCAAAGTAAAAGATCATCAATTTAATCCTGATTGTTATAAACGAACATCATGTAAATGAGCGAAAAAATGAAATGCTTGTTTTTAGGGTGAACTTTGAGATTCACTTTGAGAAAAATTGTTCAATCAATTAACAGAATCCTTAAGGCTACCAAAGTATTGATCATTAATATTGCACTTTGAACAATCATTAACTAGCGAATATGAATGTTCCAGAATTCATGATAACTTTTCAAAGATGAAGACAATTCGATGACTGAGTCAGAAAAGAGTTAACCAGACAAGCAAATGTCAAATGAGTGATTCAATTTCAAGGTTAGCATTGAGTGAAAACCATGCAAATTGAAATTATGTTTGTTACTTCGAATTACAACATTTCGAATTTAAAATTACATTTAGTTTAAACCATCAATTCGTATTGTAATACCTTTAATCGTTGCTCAGTTTGGTGCTGACACACCTAACACATGTTGAGGTTGATCATTTTCCAGGATTCTAATGATATCTTTGCTTTCTCAAGTTATATCAATTTATAAGGAAAGAATGACTAAAAATATTCAATTCAATGAGAAAATTGAGACTCATGATATGCAAAAGGAGCGGTTCTGGAATAAAATTGTGGAACAAAAAGATGAAATTGAATTTGCTTAATTTTTATTGGTTTTGTTAATTGCGCTTCAAAATTTAAACCATTACTAGATTCATGTATCATGTAGTATTTGGAGCATCAACTTTTAGACTGATTAATCGATTATTGATTATTATCATTATAAGTTAACAATTTAATGATCATTAACAGACCCATTTGGAAGGTTGAATATGGTCAAGTCAAGGTTGCATTCAATTTACTTGAAACTCGTCGAGTTGACCGCTCTATCAATCCATCAAGTTAAAGTTAACCAAATAACTGAAAGAAACAACTTTCATCAAATGAATCAAAACTCAATCTGAAAAGTTGAAACCAATTTATAACCAAAAATGAATTGCAATGGATATCGAAGGATTTACAAGTAAATAAATGAATAAAGTTCAAGCAATTCAATGCATATTTCAATCAATTAAAAGCAAACAAATGAAAGTCTGTAATGTAAATCAAATAATCAAATAAACTAATCAATCGGTTAGATCGTTTTCGCATTTAATCAACTTAAATCACAATACATCATCAGCATAAAAACGAAGCAAAAGTTGAAATTATTTTCAATATTTCAACACGCAATTTGGTCGGTTAATTATTAGATTTTCAAGTGTTACATGTTCAGTTGATCACGCAATAACAATCTGGACATTTCTCAGCATTTATTTTTTAGAAATTTGGTTAATCGAAAATGTTCGAGCTTCTGATTGACCAACTGCTAGGAGATTCAAGATTCAGGTCATTAGAATGAATGAAAACTTGAAGTTTGAATGTTCATCAATAATCTCAAGATTAACTTTGAGATAAAATATTTGGCTTTGATGAAGAAAGTTGATCTTTAAAAAATATTAGCGCAAATGTTCGGGTGTTTCCTTGTCCAAATATCTGTACATTATGTGCTTTAATGGAAACGTGATTGTATTAATAGAATGGTTTATAAAGATGAGGATAAAAAATTGAAGGATGCTGAGACTAATAATGAAGAAAAGGAGGAGAAATGAAGCTTTATCTGAGCATTCAGTAGAGTTTAAATGTTCACCATCTAATTAGACTGATTGGTGTTTCATCAATTAATCATGGATTTAAAAGCTAATTAATCTTTACCAAGTTAACTTTGAATGAGCACCAAAAACACCAACAGGTTTATCCTACTTAATAAAAGCGAAACTTGATTGTTTTCCTTTTATTTTTGGTTAATAACTTGATTCAATTGTGATCCATTGTTCAGCAAAACTGAATTAACTTTGCTCATTTATACAACAGAATCGTGCTATTGGATTATATTTTCAATCTTTAATTCTGATAAACTTTGATTCTAAATAAAGTTAACAGCAACATTAATGTTCACTTTAAATTAACATGGCTTTTATGCCATCAAATTGTCAATGTTGAGCAATCTGTGCTCATTGGGAATCAGAATTTAATCAGAATTGAGTTGATAAATGCCTTTTCCAAGACAAAAAATTATTTAATTCCAAGATTAGTTGTTCGCTAACCCAGAATCAGAATTGGAATTTTGAGTGAAACTCAATTTAGTTTGTATTGCATTTGTTTTCAAGGTTAATTAGGAAAAAAACGAATCAAGGAATTGCTTTAAGTTATGATCAAAACTTGATCAGCAATTATTGTGTGATGATGATAAGAGCAGGAAGATGATAAAATGGTGACGATCAAGGCAACTCAATTTATCTTATTTTTGGGTGAAAAAGATTTCATTAAACATTATTTTAAGGCAAAGCTATTGATCACGTTTGAGTTTTGGGAAATAATTTCTTGAATCTTAATTGTGAAACTAATGATTATTTTATCAAAATGTTTGAGCAAATAAAGCAATGAATAGATAATTAATTGAGAGTAATTAATAGTTGATTGAAACTTGAATCGAGATTAACTAATTGCTATCACATAGAGTCAACTTTTATCAACTTTTATCAAACTGTGAACAATATCATTTTGAGATAAACTATTAATAAATTGAGGTCAACATCGCATTTGTGGTTTTATTTATCAATAAATAAGTTCCGATACACGATAATAATCATGGCACACCTTTTGCAGGATAAAGGATGATATTGACTCGTAACTGATCATCATCTTTTCATCTTGTTTGCATCAATTATAATATAACACACACAAAAATGCTCAAAAATGGTTATTAATGATCGAAAAAGAAGAATGATAAACTCGATCAAAAATAATACTAATTTAATGCGAATCAAGTCTTTTTACCTTCAACATCCACCTACATCAAGTTTATCATTGTTACTTCATTTCAAGTTAACAATCAAAAAGGTAACTTGATTGTCAAGTTTAACTGAATTAAACATAAAACTGACCTACAATTTGTAGTTTAAATATATAATCATCATCATGATGAACTGACTAAAGATTGGAAAAGTTGCAAAAACTGAATAAGATGAGCTTTCCTTTTGAGTAATCATATAATCAATCAGATGATACTTTTAGCTCAAATTAAGACAAACTTTTTCCATCAAAATAGATTATTGAACATTTGATAAAAATCATTGAACAGTTAAAATTGAATCGATACTAAATATAGCAAGAGTTGATTGTTGAAGCTGGAAATTAACAGAATATTCCGAGGAGAGAAAACAAAGAGAAGAATAATAATGAAGTTCATGGAGATTGATGAAATGTAGTGAAGAACTTTAAAGTAAAGATTAATCAAAGCAAAATCTTAATCATTTTCTGATTAACGCCTGTAACCAATCAAATTGACCTTCAATGATGAATGGGTAAAGGTGTGAAAATACAGAAAAGTGAGTAAAAGGAAAACATGAAAAAAAAGAATTGATGATTCAATGAATCAAATGGTAAATGAATTTGGTGTAAAAACATTGAACAAAATAACTATTGGAATATTTATTGTCGATTCACAGTTGGAACTTTTATTCCCAAATGTTTTTGTTCAATTGATTGTTTCTCAATGAGAAAGGAATCGAGATTCAATTGAGAAACAAAGGATTCTTTATTGGTGTCACACTTGGTGTCAACTTCATTAGCGAAATGTTCTTCTGTTGCTTTTATTGAAGCAATTAAAATCAACAGTTGCTTTGATTATTAATGAAACATCCAAATGGACAGGAAGAAGGAAGATGAATCAAGATGAAAAAGATGCGGACAAAGGTGGAGAGTTGATCAAGTATATAAATTGGCAAACCAGGAAATATATTGATTTAATTTTCTCTTTATTGCTACTTTTCAATTGATTAAACATCGGAAATTATCATTTAAAGCAAAATTTTACTAAATTGTAATTATTCATTTAACCGTTTCTCATCATGGAAAGTCTTATTAACTAAATAAGAGTCTAATGTGAGAACAATCAACATTAATAAAGGCAACAAATTAACAGAATTATAATTAACCAATTGGTTAAAAATATCAGTGAAAACATGAAAATATCTTCTTCTTGTCCTTATTTCCTTATATTCACTGTTGTAAGTGAATATAATAAAACAATTATCATTTTAGGTTATCAACATGAAGAGAGTAAAGAAATGAAATTTAATGAACAGAATCAAAGGATAAAAGTTTAATTTAATTAATTTCATTTTCATCACTTGTCCGGTCAAGCATTACTCAATGAACATCAACCATAATTACAAGCATAATAATCATTTTGCTTCTCATTACTCAAGATGCGGATGAAAAAAAAGGATAATCTCGAGAAATTTATTTCAATCTTTTAGATATGATTAGCATGGATCATCATCATGACGACTATCAAGACAATGGTGAATATATGAGAAGCTAATTAAGGTTAACTGTCTTTCACTTTCAACTTCAATTAACCTTTTCATTGAGCAAACAACTAAAAAAGCTCAACAATTCATGTTTTGTTAATAGCATCGAGTTATGTTAATGAAAACTGGAAACGTTACATCAGCACGTTTTCACACTCTCTTTTGTGGTTGGGTGTTGGTTCATCATGCAGTGAATCATCATAATTAAGAAAAGAGAATAAAAAATTCAATTGGAATCGCATTGAATCAACATAAAATGAAACTCGGTAAAAGCTTCTTCAAGATCAATCCCAAGCTATCAAACTTTTACAGTTGGAATCGAGAGATTTGCAGAAATGTCAATTTAACAAGAAAAATAAAAGTTTTTGGATACAATTACAGCTGAAATTACATCCGTAAATCCCAAGCAATCAAAATGTTTATTGAAGGAAAAAAGTAAAATATCAGAACTCGAATTGTTTCATTTCTGACTCGCAATAAACTGATCAATAAACTTGAACCAACAAGAGCTTCTGTACTGATCTTGATATTGACAAAGGCTTTTACCGCAACTTATGTGAGGTTAGGTTAAGCCATTGTATTTGTAAAGCCTCTTTAGTCTGACAAAAGGTACAATTAATTCAGTTAGCGATCCAGTTAATTTAATATGAACATCATTAAAAGACAACTAGATGGATACAAATCCATCATTTAATCTCACTTTGAATGGAAAACTAGAATTGGTGAAAAAATTGAATGAACCCAAACCAGGTATCAACATTGTAATTTGCATTTCAAGAAAAGGATGAAAACTATTAGTGATGAACATCATTATGCAGCTTAATGCCATTCATATAATTAACATTAAAAGGATCATTTCATCGGTTATGTTTTGATGGGACAAAATGGTTTTATTGAAAGGACAGTGAGTAACATCGTTTTCACCATTAACATTGGACATTGTTTGCTTCAATTGAATGATAAAGGATGCTAATGATGATGATGCTGGTGATAATGGTGAATAAACAAGGGTGGTTCTGATAATCTTAAAGGTAAATAGAAGTGAAAAGGAAATCAATTTTTCTGGTTTCTTGGTTTCATTCATTTCCATTGTCATTTCAACATTTACTTTCACAGTAAAATCAAGTAAATACAATTGGACACAATGACATTGTTTGGTAATGAAAAGCAATATTATGAATCAATAATTGAAATCAACAGCGATTTTCACTTTCAATCAAACATTAACTTCCCAACTTTGCAGAGTCACATTCAGATTTGGAATATTAAATGGCCATGAAAATGGTTCTAACATTTACATGGTAAAGTGCTACTGATTAATCTGTTGAAAAGAAATGGTTAAAAATATTCATTCGCCTGAATTGAGATGAAATAATTAGGAAAATGACCTGAATAAGTTATCAGACCAATTGATTGATAACTTATTCTGAAGATAATAGCAGTTGATTGATCATCTTCATCAGTATTTTAGTTTTTAGAAAATATTAATTTTCTATTTTGTTCCATAATTTTCATGATTGATAGTTGACTTTGAATGTATCATTAATTGCAATTAACCAATAAGCATCAAACAAGTAAATAGTTCTTACCATTTCATGTAAATTTTTCATCGATTGAAATTGTTTTCGATTCTCTTTATCATCATTTTCCTTTGATGTCGAAGATGTAACAGCATTCGATTTGGAACTATCATCAACTGCATCTTGAGCAATTTCCCGATCAATCTCTTGTTCCAACTGAACCAACATTGGAGCAATCATTCCAATCTTACTTCCTTGTCGAGCAATCTCAAGTAAACAGAGAATAAAAGATTTCTCATTTTTCCTCAAGACAAGATCATCAGTTTCGAAGAGGAGACATTCCATGATTCCCAGTTTGCGACACCAAGAAATGAAATTGGAAACGTTATCGCGAGCATGAAAAGTTCCAGGCACAACTTCAACTCGATATGAAAGTTCCTTTTCAACTGGAATTGAACGATCGCTCTTAGGATTTGATTTAGCTTTTCTTATAACATTATTGGCATGTCTAAAAATAAAGAAACAAAAGACGAAGATGAAGTTATTATTGTATTCACTGTTATCTAAATAAACAGAGGTAAAGGTTCAGTTATTAGGTGGATTTGGGTGGCAAATGTCATTCTGTTTGTTTTATAAACTCAATTGCAATGAATGGCAAACTAAAATCATCAGTTTTTTGTTTATTTTGTCAAGAAAGTGACCATAAATAGAAGGGCGAATCCCTCAGATTGACAGGTTACTCTGAATGAAAAATTGACACGAAATTGATTCAATTTTCAAGTCTTTTCAACATTTGACAATAAACACAATAAAGGAAATATTTATTTCAAATGTTGCTCTCAATCTTTTCACCATTTACTAATTAATCAGCATTCAATTGGAAATGCAAAATGGCAATAATTATTGTTGAAAGGACGGGAAATGGATGGGCAACAATGAGAATTGTTTATGAGATGAAGCCCAAGATGAGGATAAATATGGTAAAAAAGCATGTTCATCTTGCTTATCTTCATCACATCACCAGCAACTCTAGACGAGTAACGGCGTGAAACAGTATTTTCAAAGGGACTTCATTTACTTTTCTTCGAACTCATTTTTTTCCATTAATAACCAGGGCGGAGTTTACTTCAGGTCATATTTAAAAAAAAGTTATTTCTTTCTTTACTACTCAACATGTTCCTCTTTCATCTTGAATCATCATCATCTTGACAGAGATGAGAAGAGAAGAAAGAGAATGAAAGAGAAATGAATAAACTGAGTTGGTCGGGTCTTGGGGAGTTTGGAGCAAAGAGCAGCTAAGAATAAATAAAATGTTTAAGATGAGTACAGAGAGAAGATGATGAAGATGGTGAAGAGAGGGAAAGAGAGACCTTTAAAGGCAGTGAATCAAAGAGGAAGAAATGATGAAACTGAGAAAAGGAAAGAAGATATCAGAGACTTTTCTTCATCGTTTATTATCCACTTACTCAAGATGCAGTTTAACATGCATTCGCTATTATATTCAATTTAAATACCGTTTGCGCCGTCAAAATCCCGCTGAGTGACAATTTGACCTCTTGTCTTTCATCTAACAAAAAGGTACTAATATTTACATTGTAAGGTCAAAGGATAGTCAAGATGAACAAGATTCAGTGATAAAATAGTCGATCATCAGTTGGATCCATTTAAGTCAAATCAACTTCAAATCTTTCAACATTAAATGGTAAAAGGTCCGTTTAAAAGGAACCATAATTTGAAGAAAATGAAGTTTATTATCGATTAAAATGCAAAATTGAATCAGTTGAGGATGGATGAACAATTTGAAAAGTGAAAGCTTTTTGTGTGAAATGTTTCTTCATTTGCATTTGATTCAATTGGAATAAAAGATTCATAGGAAATGGTGATTTTGAAAAGTTGAGATTCGATTGGGAAAAGGATGAGTTTTGAAGTAACCAGAAGAGCCTTTAAATGATCATTAATTGATTAAACCACAATTATGCCAATTTGGCAGCAATTCATGAACCAATAGTTCCAAAAGTTTTTTTCCTTCTCAATCAATCAAGTTGTAACGCTGTTCTAACTACATTAAATACAATGGTTAAATCATTTTGTTGGATAACTGTCAATTGAGAAAGTTAATTGTCATCAAGTTTACAACAATCAAAGCTAAAGGATGAGCGAAAGTTTTCAATTAATTAAGTGATTAACAAGGAACAGCAAAAGGTGAGGAACAAATAAAATAATAGATTCTGAGAAAAGTTGCAAATTTTTTGTTCGTCTTTTCATTTAACACCTTAAATGTAAATGAATAAAAGCATTCCAAACTATCACCCTGTTCCAAGTCTATTCGATTTCCTATTAGCATCATTATTTCATGATTATTGATGCAAATAGAAAAAAGAAGAATGCAGAAAACAGGAAAAAACGAACTTTTCTTTTCATTTTGGTGCAACAATAAACGATGGGTTCATTAGAATCATGAGCTTCGTTAACAATCAAAATGATTAGCACTTAAAGAATAACATAGAATTCTGAGAATCTTGATAATTGTTGTTTCCATTTATACATTTACTAAACTCTTTCACTACTAATTTCAGTTTTTTGTTAATTTTTTATTAACTTTCTCTTCTCAGGTTGCAACTTATCCTTTGCTTTACATTGATGGCTCTCGATGGTAATTTTATCAACCAAATTATCCATTGCATGAAATGAGGTTAAATGTAATCTTTGGGTTAAAGGTTGAACATTTATTGCTTTTGAAAGCAGCTTTTGCGAACAAGAAAAGGATCAAATTCAAGGTAAGCAAAGTGGTGATAATATTAGTGAATAAGGTTAGTGGAATGCAACTTTTGGTTGTGTTTTTAGTAGAAATTGATTTTTCCTGAAACGATAAGAGTTTTTTTGGTTTATTTACCTGCAAAGTATAACGCCAGTTTCCAGTTTCTCCATGAAATTGTCAACCGTGATATTTAAATTATAAAGGGCATTTAACCATTCAGCAAGATCTTCTTTCATTGCGTAAAGATACTCTTCACTTGATTTAAATGGACGAAATGGTCGAGGCTCTAAATGACCAACTTTGCTGTTTTGTTCGTTATCCTTTGAACCAAGAGTCGAATTATTCTGGACAACAGACTGGACTTGAAGTCCCAATTGATTGGCAAGTCCCATTTCACTTGTCATCATGCAAGTTGAGTCTTGGGGTCACTTTAAGCTCTATGATGAAGATGGTTCAACTTTCATGTGTAAACACAAAATTTGTTGTAAAAGTTCACTGAAGAATGATGTAAACCATTGGAACTTTGATCATCAAGATAAGGTCATAAACAAATAAACAAATAGGAGAAAACACGCAAAATTAGAAGATAAGAGGAAGAAAAAAGTTGCTCTAATTAATAGTTGTTGGTGGCCCAAAAGGAATGAGAAAGTCTAGTGAAGATCATCTAATATCTACTGTGACTTGATAGGCAATGGGCTTGGGACGATGAACAAGAGAGTAAAGTGAGAAGTTGGATGAAGAAGAAGAAGAAGAAGAGAGAGTGAAAGATGGGCGATATCGTAGACCCAAAAAAAGGAGGGTTGAGGGTAAAATAGGCAAAGGAAGATGAAGAGGGATAAAGAAGAGCTGAGAGATGAAAGAGGCTTATGTGTCTATCTTTGACTTTAGTCCATGGATATGAAGGAGAAGAAAAGGAAGAAAAGGAAGAAAAAAATTACTTGTAAAATTAGTAGTCAAGATGTTGGTTCGAGTTCACAAATTGTTGTCCATTACTGTTCATCACTGATGAGTGGAAAAGGCGATAAAAAACATTGGCCAAAGTAAAACACATAAAAACATGATATTCGTTTAAAGATGTTTCCGATTACATTTCAAGGAATCATCTTCATGTTTGACTCTTGATGATATTGAAGATGATTGTAGGCACGTTGTTGTTTCACGCTCATTGAAATGGATACTAAACTTTTTTCTTCGTTATTCCAGTTGTAATACAAAGCTGATTGAGTGAGAGTAAAAGTTTTTTGTGTGTAAGTGTGTTTACAAGCTCAGTTGATTTGTGTGGGACTGAAACTTGATAACAGTTACCTGAGTTAGTCAACGTCTTACGGTAAACTAAGAAAGTCTTTCTCACTCATTCGTTGAAGGAGGAAAATTGCGAGTTGATTAGTGAGCTGCTTTCAGTTGCTTCAACGATGGCGATCAAGTTTATGATGATGTTGGTGATTCATTGATCTCAATATTTTCAACTTTAAATATTCTTCTATCAAGAAAATTGTTGCTCATTTGTTGCTTCCAATCCCATGGGCTTGAACCTGATGAATAAAAGGACAAAAAATCAAGATTCAAGTGTTGACAATGAGAAAAGTACAAATATTTGAAACTGCCCTTAACATAACCATAGGAACATGTTTATATTGAACACTATTTCCGGCTCAACCTTTTCATTTACAGCATTTCATTATTTATTCTGTATTTATTTCAGTTGAAAAATTATCAATTTCATTTCCTTTTTTCTCCTTTTTCTTTCATATTTATTCTTGCCCTGCTATCCAAGTGTCTCGGCTAATGTTTCAAATCACAATTCAAATCTCACCCCGAGTTATCATGCTGAGAAGAGGAAAGGTTAACCATGAAAAGAAAGAAGAAGAAGAAGAAACCCAGTAATTAGGAAAGAAATGTTCATCTGAATCAAGTGTTTCTGTATCAGCATCTATTGTTAGCACATTCAGAAGTAAAGTGACCTTCAAGTGGAAAAACAAATCATCAATAATTTGCAAGGAAACTGACCTAAGGTCAATTTGTGTTAATGCATTTTACTTTGAATAGTAAAGTGAATGAAGAGAGAAGAAAAAAAAGTTTCTGGAAAAATGTTGCAAACCATGAAAATAAGTGTAACCAATGATTGAAATGATTTAAGTTACAGTTAATCAATTGATGAGTAAAACGGCGCAACATAAATCACCTAAAAAAGTACAGGTTAATGGTGAAAAGAAAAACAGTTTTTTCTCTTCTTCAAGTTCCAATCCTGAAGGCACGTGAAGATGAACAAGAAGAGTAATAAAAAAAAGTCAAGAGAGGCTGATAGGGAAGCAAAGGAGGATGAAGGATGAAAAAACAAACTGACAAGAAGGTCGATCCCATAATTTTGTAGTCTGTGTCAACATCAACAATACCTTTACACTTGAACCAGAATTAAATGGATGAAGAAAATTCATTGAGTCGGAAAAATGTTGATAGAGTTAGAAGAGAAAAAAGTAATAATATTTATTCAATCATGAAAACTGAATGACAATTGAATAAAGTTGGAAAATTTGAATTAACAATTTTCTATGTCAGTTGAAATTGAATGTGAAAAGTACCTTATGCATTGAGATTATGTGATAACCAGTTATTATTGAGAAAAGTTCACACAACATCATTTCCAGAGGCAACATTACTGAACTAATATTATTAATTATTTCAGCTCAACTCATGTGGCTAACCATTTATCTTGCATCTTTACATTTTCCCATCAACACTTTTATCTTCATCATCTGAGGATGAAAATGTTTCTAATGCATTAATGCATCTTGTTTAATGTCCTTTAAGTGCATTCATTAAATGCTATGGATTAGAGTGAGATTATTGCAATAAGGATTAATTTACTGTTTTACCCACAAAAAAAGAGATTCATTTATTGTAATTTATTCAGTGACTTACATGCAATAATTGAAGATAAAGTTTACATTTGAAAGATGTAAACAGATAACCTTGAAAATCGGTGAATCTCCTTTAAATGGAATTTACTTTTTCTTCGTTTTCATTGAAAATTATCAGTTATCTCTTTTCAAATGATAATATTTACCTAAATGATAAGCAAGATGATACAGGTCAATCACGTTCTTCATGAAATTCAATTCATCATTCAAAGTGATTATCATTGATGAATGAACAATATTATCTTTTACTCTGACCTGTTAACAGGCGATCATTGTCAATGTGTGCTAATTTAATCAAAATATTATCAAATCATGTCAATAAGAAGAGGTGAGTTTCAACAACAATGATAACCTCTGAGAAGATATTTTTTCATGAAAAATGGGAAAACAATATCGACTTCATCACTTTCTATTCAAATTTAATGATAAAATCTTTTCCATCCAAATGAAAACCACAAGTTTCCATCTTGATTTACATACAATTTGCATAATTACAGTTGATTTGATCATGAAAATGATCTGAATTAAATTGCATTCCAACTGTTCATTGAAAGTAATAAACTGATTGAAAATATGAATGACAGCATAACGGATCTACAGGTTTAATTCATTGTCAGGATGAAAAGGAAGTAACAATGAAAATCCATCAACGATTATCATTATCTTTAAATTATCATCATTAGATGAGTATTTATTTGTCTTCTTTAAACTTTGTAACAGATCTTTTTAAACACCCTTTAATCATCTCCTTCAATTGTATTTTATGGAAAAGCCATTTAGAGTTATCATGTTTCTCTGTGAAATAACGATTCACATGAAAAGGTGATTATTATGAGATGAGGAAAAAACAAGCAAGAATAAGGACAAGTCAGGGCGGAAAAGATGAAGATGATAATGTAATGACAATGCTACTTGAGACGAGATAATCAAAATGAAAGGTTACTCAAATGGTAAAAGAGGAAAGGAAAAAAAAGGCAAAGTTGAGAGGACAAAAGGGCAAAAAAGTAACATGAAAAAAATGGATTGAAGGAGGAAAAGAAACAGATGAAGAGACAAAAAATGACAAGAAAAATGAGTTGATAAAAAGTGATGAAAAAAGATGATGATGGAGATGATCATGAAAGGCACTTTGGTTAAGGCATTGATTGTGAATGAGTTAAGATGTAACCAGAGAGGTAAAGTTATCATTATCATTTTGCCCATTCTTTGTCTTTCTAACCCAAAGACTGATATTTATCTTGTTTCAATCAATACTCTAGTACAATTGATGATGAAGTAAGCAAAGAAACGAGTTTAGCTTTGCAGGTTTTTGCCCTTTTCTTGTTTCCATGTTATCTGTCAAAACGGATCAACACAAGATTATCTTAATGAACATTTTGGATGGTGTATTTGTGTGGATAAGAGAAGAAACTTATCTAGCATTATTCAGAAATGAACATTGATTTGCAAATGAATGACAACAGGAAGAGAATCACAGAGTAAATGTAAAGTCTCCAAGGAGATGGAAGAGGGAATAAATGATAAGAACCTTTTGTCATGAATACCAAAGAATATTGAAGCAAATTCAACCCAAAAATTCCAAACATTTTTCTCTTTTCTTTGCTACTTTCAGCTTCCTGTTATTGCATGAAAATTATGAGCAACAAACCCAAGTATTGTTACAAAATTGCTGTGAACCAAAAAGTGAAAAATAGTTTTCACCAATTTTAATCGATACAAATTGTCATCATTTGCTTTTGCATTTCTGTTTGTTTTATAAACCATTCATTTGTCATGATGATTGGAAGAGAAAATCATTTATTTGGAAAATCTGATTGCATAGAGTTTACTGATATACCAAAGATTACCTTGAATACTAATGGAGAGTGAAAAGTGAAAAGTTGAAGTTGACCAAAAATAAATCAATAGCCTGAGGCTAAGGGTGGGCCAATTGATTGCTCAAGGTCAATGTTAGTTTTCCCTGTTGGACCAGAAACAAAAAAATGATAACCGGAAACGAAATAGGAAAAGCAAGGAACCCAAAACTGGTATCAACATACCAAAGATGTTTATTTATTTCAAGAGAAACATCAACTCAAGATAATACTGAACCCAATGACTGATGAAGTTAATGTAACATTGAAAACGACTCAAAATATGTTTTCTGTTAATTGAATGGAAGGAAGAAACTGACCAAACTAATTGTCCACCGACATTCCAATAAACGAGTTTGATCCAATTTCTAATCGAGTTTGATGAATCTTGAACATAATTTATGGCTATTTAATGGGTGAAGCTTAACGAATCCAATTGTCATGGATGTTGATATATTAGTGATTGACTAGAAATGATTGAAATTACTATTTGGAACACACACAAACATTTCGAATGGTGAAGTTGTTTAATTTAATTAAAACCAGAAAAGGTAAATTTAAACAGGTTGAGTTAATTAACGAATGTAAAGGATTCTTGATTTGGTTAATCGTTTTCAAATAAATACAAGAAAATATATTGATTAGTCCAAGTTTGAAATCATTGAAAGTTGATGATTGGAAGGAAAAATTAAATTGCAATTGAGGCGCACCGCAAGTTTGAAGTTTAATTAAATTGTTGTTTCTATTTAGACTATCAAACTAGACCAAATGAACGGATAAATTGATTGTAAATTAAAGGCAATAGTGAACAATCAGGAGTGTCTTATGAAATAAACTCAATTTGGTCAACAAGAGGTTACAATTTATTTGATTTTTGTAGTTAAAGCAAAACATGAAACTTCATTAATTAATTGTAAATCAATTGGTTGACAGATTTATGGCTTCATTAAAGATTAACAGTTGAGTGTAAAGCAGGAAAAAACTGGACTACAGAATCGGAATGTTTTTACCTTTTTTCAGGGCATTCCAATTGAACCCAATGAAAAAAAGAGCAACAATTTGAGTTTAAAGGCAAATGATGAAACTGTTTTGCAAATGCATAAAAGAGGTTAGTTAATTGAATGAGAAAAGAAGAGTTTACATGAAATGACAATGAGCCAGGTAAGGATGAATTTTGTGCTCAAATAAGCTGATAATGGTGAAAATAGGAATGAAAATGTTGATTGAAATGTTGGATAAACATTGATGGGAAAGAAAAGTTAATAAACAAAAATAAATATGAAAAGCAGGGGAACAATGTAACTAAATTGTGAGTGTCCACCGAATAACGGATGTCTCAATGAACGTGAGAAGATGAAATTGAACAGTTTATTCATTGATGATAATCGCCATTTCAATCTTATTGTCCTGTCTTATTCGTGGAAAAACTGAGTTCACAATTAACCGCCAATGAATGAACAATTTTTCATGTTATTCTGTGATTGGTCCAAGAGAAAGATGTTTATTGTTGTCGTTTAATTATTCACTGATTAGTTCATTGATCCATCATTTGAATAACTGATGAAAAGGGTTGGGATCAAAATTATTTAATAACATGAACATCTTTTCCTGATTACTTGGAACATTAAGAGTAGCCAGAATCATCAGATAATTGTCGTTAATCATTCAATCACAACAATAGAATCTAAACTTTCACTTCTTTCCGAATATTGAAATTGAAAAAAATAGGTTGGACAGTTTATTGATAATTATTATTGTATTTATTACTATTATTACTGTTCACTATTAATGTTATCATTGTTTATTGAAATGTACCATGCAAAGGTAATAAGACTAATCAGTGAAAGCAGATCAAATCAGGTGAAACAAAAGGTTAACAGACAACTCAAATGAACCACAAAAATGAACAAAACAATGAATGATTGGTCGAGTTTTGATTGAAGGGAAAGGATGAAATTGAAAATCAATTGAAACAATTGATACGAAATGGATTATCGGATGAAACTGATACTTTGTTGTCCATTGATCCGTTTACAGAGACTTTTACTTTAACAATAAATAATGAATAGAGAAAAGAAATTCATTTTCATGCTTCCTCATATGGAAGTAAATATAATAACATGGAAATGATGGAAATGCAATTCAGTGAAACGCATTTATAACGGAATCCATAAAAACCATTTTACTACAACAATAATCTCAAGAAAACCAGAAAAACAAAGTTCTAACAAAAGTAAAGAATAAAGAAATGATCGTTTAACTTTTCATGATGATCGAATATAATTTTTGCGAAAATTCAAATTCACTTTTTATACAAAAAACAGGGAATTTTAAACTAATTCATTCCATTTACAGACATTTCTTTGGAATTTACAGTCAACTCTGAAGATACAGAAAATGAGACAATTTCTCGTTATTTTGATGCAAAAATCACATCAATTTTGATTTCAATGTCGATTGGAAAGAGTTGGTGAAAATTCGGGTTCTTAATTTGATTTGGTGATTGAAATTGGACTGAAAGTTATTTTACGTAGAAATAATTAGAAGCCTTCAATATCGAGATTGATGCTATTGTGATTGAGGTTAGTTAATTGGGTTGAGATGAAAGTAAATTGTGACAATTGAATCGATCAAATATTATCACAATAAAGTGGAGTTGACTCTGGATGGTCAATTGAAACTCAACTGGCTACAAATTAAATTAACTGTCCATCAATGAGACCAAAGTGATGAGATTCACTTGAATCCATGGAAACATGAAAGTGTTCAAAGATTAGTTTAAATGTTTAATCAATTTATCACTATTATTAGATACTGAGATTAGCATAAGGTCAGTGCAAGAGGTTAGTCTTGAATCTGAAAGATTATCAGGTTTTCATTCAACTATGAAACTCACTGCATGTGCTTCCATTTAACTGACATCATGTTAATTCATTTGAACAAGTAAACATTATTTGAAACTTGTGGCAGCTTCGTGTCGATAAGGTTATCTAATTGGCTTGTGTAAACTGAACAGCTAATTTTAATTTCGTGATCAAACAGTTGATTATATTAACGATTCAATTTGTAACTTTTTATCATAAATTGTGAAGGAGATCAACTAAAAAGATTGATTTGCTTCTCAAGGAAAGAAGATGAAAAAAAGGTAAAATTATGTTGATTGTTGATGAAAGTGATGAAGTTTAATGTTATCAGATTGACGAATGTCGATGAATGATGATCATGATGATTGGAAAGAAGAAAGAAGATCCTTGAAGAGAGACAGGTAAAGGGTTTTTCCTCACTTTTCCACCATTCGAAGGTCGACAATAATCGATATTGATAAATGACTAGAAAATGATTTAAATTTGAAGGAAACTCACATTGAAAATGAACTCAATTTGAGTTTCCATTCACATGGGATCAAGATTATTGAGTTATGAATTGAACTTGAGATTGAATGTGAATGAATGGTTGAATAGAGAAACAAATTGATCGATCATCTCGGTGTTGATTTGAATGAGTGAAACCTTTAGAAGTGAGGATTTACAGTTTAGTTGGTATTAACTGAGGATAAACAGGAAAGAAATGGATTACAAATGAACAAGTCAATGAACAAATTTGAATTGCTTGTAATGATCAGACAATTGACTAACAATGGAATAGAGGAAAACATCTGAGACTTTTTGGTTCATGTTAATGTTGGAATAAACTGAGTGAGATATTGCAAGTTAATCCAGTTAATAGTTGCTCTCATATTTGATGAGCTTTTGCGTGAGTAAATGAATGAAGAAAGACAATGAGAATAACAATCGATGAAGAAACTAACATAGAAAGAGGTCAGAATCAGACGAAGAACGATTCTGGCTGTTTGAAAGTAATCATGAAGCAAACTCAGGTATGAAAATGGGTTTAATTTTGTTACTCAGGGTGTTGTCTGGATTGACTTCAGTTCTGTCCACTTTTCAAATGATTGGATTCATTGAAAGAAGAAGGTTGAAAAAGGAAAAGCAAATGTTCAATTGATCAAAATTATCATTGAAAGAGGCAATAAAATGCGAGATTGAGGCTCAAAAATAGCATCGTAATTAGTCAAAGGCTAAAGTAAATTCGAGCAACGATTCTTACCTCAACGTTGAGAAATAATGTGATGAGTCTGTTGATGACAAATGAAAGTGAAGACAAAATGATGCAGTTAACATAAGATGAATTTATTGTTGAATGGCGGCGAATGTCCAAGGATATCCAATAAAATGTGAAGTGGTTAACATTGAAATCTGAATACAGACTGAGAAAAGGTAAACATTATTTTCAGATGAAGTTTGTTGTGATTATTTGATTACAAATGAATGATGAAAAAAGATATTGAAACAGAGAGAAAAGGCGAAAGACTGAGAGAGCGGGAAAAGAGAGTTGACGGTTGGCCATTGAGAGACTCACGGTTCAGGTTAAAATGGTACTCATTGAAGCAGTAAGTCCGTTAATATTGAAAAGAGTCGATATAAAATGCAGGAGAAAAGAGGAAACCTTTTCTCGATCTTTTCATCAAAACTAAAAACTCTCTCTTTTACCTTCTAAACTACTCTTTCTTGCTCTCTCTCACTCTTTTTCCTTCTTCTTCTTCTCTTCTCTTCTCTGCTCTGTCTCATTTCTCATTTCATATTTAGCGCTCGATATTTTACGACTGTTTGGCTTTTCACAAATGTCGCCATCTTGCGGAGTAAAAAAATTAAAACAAACAAAATGGCTTCTGTGAATGGTAAGTTAACAATGAAATTTATAGAAATTTTTGATAATCGATTAATAACTAATTTTTGTTTTATAATAAATAGATCTTAACGTATCCCAGACAAGAAGAAGCTCATCTCGTAATATTAAAAGAAAAAAATTTGATGATGAGTTGGTTGAAAGCAGTATATCGCATCCCAGACAAGGGAGATCTCGTACCTCATCAACTTCAATGGCCCCCGGAATAACTGGACAAGTTACTTGTGGTAAGGATGTTCCATTAACTCCTGGTTTACCGCTTTCTGGTGTTTTACATTCTCCTCTATCAGTGGCCATCCCCACACCAACAATATCAACCAGCGAAGCCCTGAATAAACGTCCAAAACCCGTGACAACATTCTCAAAAAGACGGCGCCATCGGCAAGCTCACAACAATGCTGTCAAGGACATAGGTCGATGGAAAGCACAAGATGATCTTGCCCTCATATTAGCTGTACAACAGACCAATAACTTGGAAGATGTTTATCGTGGTGTCAAATTTTCATGTAAATTTACCTTGAAAGAGATAGAAAATCGTTGGTATGCTCTTTTGTATGATCCAACCATTGCCAAGATTAGTGTTTCATCAATACGTCAATTACACACAGATGTAATTGCATTAACTCACAGAAAAACAATTTTCAGTCAACAAGAAGAAGACATTCTGAAAACAGTCCCATCCGCATCTTTACCAACAGTTGAATTGTTTGAGGAGATGCTTTCCAAGAACACTGATGTGTTTCTTACTTTTCGCACCGCGAAGTGTTTGTTGAATCATTGGACCCTTCTAAAGCATCACCATCTCTTACCTGACCAGTCAATACAATATTTTTCCCGTCATCAGGACTTGATGAACTTCTCAGATGGTGAAGATTCAATTGAGAAAGATGTTGAAGCCTCTTTGGGCCTTCCCTGTAAACAAGATGATATTCTCCATTCGGAACATATCTTATCCGATCGAAAGAATAAAAGAGAAATTCGCCGATTAGAAAATGAAATACCTCGTTGGCAAGTGTTAGTAGATAGTATAACTGGTGTTGCGCCATCAGATTTCGACAATCATACTTTAGCAGTCTTGAGGGGTCGTCTTGTGCGTTATCTGATGAGATCACGAGAGATAACATTAGGAAGGTGTACAAAAGATAGTGAAGTTGATGTTAATCTTTCATTGGAAGGTCCAGCGGCAAAAATATCTCGGAAACAAGGATTAATTAAGTTGCAGCCAAATGGGGATTTTATGCTAGCCAATACGGGTAAAAGACCAATCTATGTTGATTCGAAACCCATTATCGGATCTCTGCATTGTGCAAAGTTGTTTAATAATTCGGTGGTTGAGATTGCTGGACTTAAATTTGTATTCTTAATTAACCAAGACTTGATAGCAGCAGTCCGCACCGAAGCTCTAAAAAGTCAAATGTAGATGAGTTTTGTACTGAATATGAAAAATAATTGACAGCAAAGTCAAATCAATTTACCAATAAAATAAAATGTTATTATTTTCTCAAAATGCAAAAGATGTATTTAACAATCGATATTGTGTTTATATGGGGGAAGAGAGCATGAGAGGGTCAGTGAGGTTAGCAGTTGAGCGACAAGCTTTTCTGATTTGAGTCCAATCATCAATAATCTCAGAATCTTTCAACATATAAACAATATAAGGACCAGAAACAGGAACGGGTTTTCTACGTCTATCAAGTAAATGTAATTGATCTCTACTCGGTCCAACTTCGTAATATGTGCTTCCATTATTGCCAATCCTTCTCTTCTTTTTCGGATTGTAAAGGGAATCACCCCAAAGGTCTACAGAATTACGATCTTCTTCCAGTCTTCGGATTCTTTCCTCTAATTCTCGACGTATCTGGTCTCGAGCTAAGTTTTTTTCACTCTGATAGGTAATTTGAAATATATAAAGTTAAATAGATTAATAATTTTTCCTCTTTCAAATATAAATTCAAATATAACAAACCTGGAAGTTTTGATCAACAGCTTGCTTTTCAGCTTCATATTGAATATTAACGTTTTTGAACTTGAATTCTTTAAGGATACCGGCTACTTTCATTCTAATTTCCATTTGGTGATGAAGATCGTCAACTGGTCCGAGATACTCTTGAGCATTACCAGCTTTGACCTCTTCAAGTTTTTTTTCAATCTGCTTTATCCTCTCCATATACAATTGTTCTTTGAGAGCAAGAAACTGTCTTTCCAAATCCAACATTTCATTGATATGTTCGGTTTTTAACACTTCACATTCTTCTTCATCCAATTCTGTAATGTTATTAGAAAAATAAAATAAAAAATCACAAACAAAACAATTAATGAAAACTTACCTGAGGTATCTTCATTGTCATAATCAGATCCAGCAAATTCAGAGTCGGTATCTTCATTGCTATAATGGGTGCCCTTGAAACTATCAGGGCTACCTTCGACCTCCATTCTAACCATTCTAGTCAAAATAGTAATAACATGGTAATCAAACTAAATTACAAAAAAATTCATAAATATACTCAGTATGACAGAGATTAAGGAGGTTGGGAGAACGAGAGTTTCCATAGCGAAAGGAAAACAAAGCTGTCAAATATCCAATGAAAGTTAAGCCAATCATACAGCAAACCTGGATTAACCGCGCTTTTCAAAATTACAGCAACATCAGCATTCAATCTAACTGTTTATGTAAAGAATGAAGTGGTGCATGGTAAAGTTTCAGATTTCCATTGGAAATTTTCATCTTTATCAGTTGTTTGATCTCCATTCCGATAAGATAATTGGTCAGAATAACACGCAAAACAAAGTTAAATTCATTGTTCTTATTAAAAATGTTTTGTTTAAAAGCTAAAATTTTAAAGCATTGAAAATCATTTCAAATTAACTTTAATTGTTTTATTAAATGAAAATATACAATATAGATACAAAAATGAATCCTGCAAAGCAATGAATTGTTCTGTCAATCTTTCTGTTAGATCCATCAAGATTAATCAGAATCACTTTGATCACTAGTGTAGGGAACAAGAGAACTTGGCGGTGTAGAATGAGATGAGCTTGTCGTTGGTTTGCAAAAAGAAATTCCTAATTTGTTTTTATCTAAACTTACAATTTCTACTTCGGCCTTTTTTAATGCCAATGATTTAGCAATTTCAAGAAATTGTTTATTTAGTTTATTGCTCAGTTGTGGATCTTCATTTGGTTTGAATATTGGTTCATTAACGATTCTATCCCTAGTAGCTTGTTTCTTTTCCAAATAAGCTGAAAAAAAGAAAAGAAACATTAGGAAATATTCAAAAATATGAGAGACAACGATAAAATTAAAAATAATTGCTAACTTTCAGAAGGTTCCAATCTAATCAGGGATGAAAGCTTAGCGTCAAGGGGTGATTCCGGTAATAATTTTATTCCCAATGATAGTTTTTTTGTTAGTGCATCATCTGTTTCTTTATCTTTTTTATCTTTAGACCTCTGAACCTATAACGAGAACGAAAAATTAATATATAATATCAAGAAAATTAATTGAGCTGAAGAATGCAATGAACTAAAAACCTACTCTTAAACTCTTTCTTAAGAGTTGATTGGCTGAAAAATCATCTTTCCACCTTTCTTGCAAATCATGTAACTGTTCAATAACTGGTTCAAGTTTGGTTATTTTTTCTCGATCTTCAGTATCATGCTCAAGTTTAAACATGGCATCAGTGGCCAATTTCTTAATATCATTCTTGTCTTCTGTGACAATCTGCTCATTTTCACCTGGATCCCAGCGATTCTCTTGTCTACGAGCACCCGATAAAATAACATAGTCTAAATTGGCTGGATCTGTTTGCATCTCAAAATGACTATCACAAAGATGACATTTCATCCGAAACTTGTAGATAGGTGTCGAATAATACATTCCAGTTTTGCTTTTCTCAGCATTATATCTGACGCCCATTCCAACATGATTATTGCAACCTTCGCACCAAATGTTATACGGTAATTCAAATCTTATTAAGAGACATAAAGCAAAAAAGAAGAAGATTAGTATAATTGTACATCTCTATAAGAAGTTCAAATGAAAAAACGGGAAATTACCTTATTATTAAGATTCCTTGATCTAGTTTTCGGGCTCTTTCTCGCAATGGATGACTGTTACGGTACTTATTGACACTTTTATGTTTAGCTGGATTGAAATCCGCTGGTACATATTTATTTGTTGCTTTTCTTTCAGCCTGAAAATAACCAAAGATACAACAGTTATACAAATTCATGCTTTTGAGATTTTTCGGTAACTTACCATGATTAAATGTAGTTTTCTAGATCACACCCGCTAAGATAGTATCACGCAAAATTAATCAATAAACTGTTTAAAGAACAAAACACCAACATAATAATTAAACATCAATAATATTGGATGGTTTTTACCTGCCAAACTGATTGTAATGTTGTTTTTTATTGAATCCAAACAGCTGTTATTTTGACGTGATATCAGCTTGGAGCATGGATTGAATTGAGCGCCAAGAGTAACCTTCTTCAATTGTTTTTGTTTTAAATACAATTTTAATCAACTTAATTTTGTTTTTCTTCTTTGTTTAAATAATCAAATATAGTTATTGTGGTCAGCTCTATCGTTCTACAATCCAAGAAAAATCGGTAAGTCATTCATTATTAGAGAAAATTTTCTCTTCTTTCATGTTTTTTATTCTCTTTGTTCTGTTGATGTCTTATATGGATTCCATATTTAAATAACAAATAACATTTCAATTTGATTTATAAATTTATTATTTTTTATTTCTCCTACAGCTTAAAGAAATGGACTTATGTGAGTTTCTTGCCGAAGAAGAGCTCGTCGAAATTTACCCAAATTTTAAATTCAACAAGCAATTGAACCTCATATCTGGTGACTTTGGTCCGTTTGAGCCAGATGTACCTATCAAGGTCCCTGTTTGGCTAGCTTTAAATCTTCATCAACAACATAAATGTTCCCTTAAGCTTCCCAATTGGATCAAAGAGTTGATTAATTTACAAGAACAACAAGAAACCAGCTTTCAATTACTTGAGATGCCCTCGGAGTACTGGAGAGAAATAATAAAATTATTACAGCAACATATCACTTCCCTTCCTGATTGTGCCGATCTGATTGAACGCCGAGAAGCTATCTTAAAAAGTTCAGTTCATGCTCTTTTCAAACATGCTTACAACTCGGAAAATCTAATTATAAGTGATGTGACCCTTCATAATGTTACAAAAGCAGAGCTTTATTTAATCAAAGTCTTCGTTCAAAAAGCTTTTGCCCATCTACAAAAATTACGAACTAGTGCAGCTACTATAAAACGTTGATAGATAATTAAATTATTTGTTTTTTGAGTTTTTAAAAAGTTGAAGTGCTTTCATCCGTAAAAATATCATTCGTTGTCTGGCTCTTCGGAATGCTGCGACAATTTGTGAAATGTCATTCCATAAAGGATCATGAATATCATCTGATTCATCCAGTTTGGGATCGAATTGGCTAAAGAAAGGAAAAGAATTGTTGAAAATTTGAAATTTACACTAATCAGTAAATCTGTTTACCTGGATTGTACTATTATATTAACATTCAAGCTGATGGTCCCTTTTGATTCAGTGTAGATCAATCCAAGTGGTTCATAATGGTTCTTTAGGGATAAATTAAACGTTATAATCAAGCTCATACAAAAATACATGTATTTTGCAATTAAAGGTTACTAAAAGGTTAGTTCAAACATAATGCAAGGGATTAAATTTCTTACTTCTTCTAATTCATCCAAATCGAAAGAATAATTGAGAAAGTATTCCATCAATTTGTCAGAAATTCTATTAGAATGCGGGCGAAACATTTTGATTTCTCTAGAAAATTTTCCAGGTCGAAAAGGAAACTTTAAAATACCAAAGGCTTCCGTTGATGATCGACCCAAACTGTGATTATTCACTACACGAAAATAAAGCGTGAAGCCATTACTGATTTCTGACTCGTTTGATTTCGTATTACATTCTGCTATAATAAATTGAAATGGAGCTCCAACTGAGGTAGTAGAAGTCGAACTGTAGCATCTATGCGTTAATCCACAAAGTGATCTATCATCACCATCATAAGGAAACCATCCACGGGAAGGTTCTAACCAAAATTCAATGTGCACATTTTTATTCGCAAAATTGGTTAATTTAGCTGAAAATGAACAAAAATAAACCAATTAGAGCAAATTTAGAGTGAATATTTTAAAAAATAAACTTACCTATTTCACCGAAAATAACTATTTGACTGGTCGCAGAGGAAAACCGATGTGAGCTAGATTTGTTAACAGTTGATTCTTCACTAATTAGATTACTTAGGTTTTCATTAACCTTAAGAAGTCTTTCATTGTCTATTAAAACCATACTATTTAGATTTTTTTATTAAGCATCTCCACTGGTTCGATTGAATACTTTTTTGTTATTCTTGCATCGGTCACCTTAGCAACTAAAATTCCAAAGATCAAAATAAAGTTCCTCTCCAAACAAACCCGTTGAAGAGATAAGGACAAAATAAACTCGGAAAATTATTCTTAATGTCTTTAAATTAAAGGTATTAAATTGCTTGAGGCGAAACATTACAGTGGCAATTTGAAATTGAGAGTGATTCAATAAACTCTACTATCTACATTATTGTATAAACAAAATTCAAAATTATTTCACAACAGCAGTGATTAATAAGCAGTTATAACCATTCGAGAAAATATTGAAATATTTTATGATTGATTCAACATTTCTCTTGAAATCACCGAAACAGGCTTGGGTCTATCCATCATAGGATCTACAGGATTGGCATGATGAAACTCTTTAGCCAATTCGATGAGAGATTTAAATGTACGAGGTTCCCAAATCGCTAAATTTGCCAAAGTTTTTCTGTCTAGTTCTATGTCCATCTGCAAAAACAGGTAAAAATTATGTTGTGGTAAATAAAAAGTGATAACACGAAGAACTGATATGACTGAATTGTACTATGCAGTTTACTTCATATCAATAATTACCTGAGGTAAAGCAGTGATGAATAAATGGAAAGGATAATCATGTTCACGACAAGCAGCAAGAACTCTTTGTGATGTTAAATCTCTGAATTGAATCTTTTTCTCTCCACGATCACGATTTTCGTATTCAATTCTTTTCGTCCATTTATTTCGAGCATTCTTGTAGGTGTTACGATTTCTTCCATAGAACCCACCAGTCATTCGGAATAAATTATATTTTTTGAAATATCTACCTCCATTACCAACCTCCAAGTTGAACCAAGGAGGAGTATATTTGCACAGAATTCTAGTTAGCTGAACCATAATGAATAATATAAAAGATCAAAAATTATCACAATTAGTTAAAGTGTTAAAACTGCATTTGAAAACATGTGTTTGAGAGGTTGCCAATGGTAACTTTTAAAGCGCGTCTTTTTAAACATTGATCACCCGATAACTCAAATGTTATTAGAATGAGAATTTCTGATATTTTGTATCTTTATCGTTTTCTATTCTGATACTTTTCTAATCATTTCTGATTTCAGTTGTCCATGCAGAGCTGTACATCAAATATGAAAAAAGCTAAATATTTTTGTGACAACAAGATAGAAAACGTTGTCGCTTCGTAATTATTGATATTTATTTATTTCTCATTAAGATTCTTATTTCACTAGAAAAAGTGCAATTTAATGGAATATTGATGCGAAAAAATATTTTTTAAGATTAATTACATCAACAGAATTACAAATCTATTTGTATTCGTAGAAACCTTTTCCAGATTTTTTTCCGAAGTGACCAGAATCAACTAATTCTTTTATTATTTTTGACGGCTTGATGAGGCTAGGATCTCGTTTCATCCAAACTGCATTAATTAATTGCACAGTATCTAATCCAACATAATCCATTAATTCAAAAGGACCCATAGGGTAACCAGCACCCAATTTCATGGCAGTATCAATATCACGGACTGTAGCATCACCTCTTTCAAGCATTTGAATAGCTTCAGACATATATGGCAAAAGTAAACGATTTACAATGAATCCTGGTGTATCCTTACATTTCACAGATACTTTCCCAATTGATTTAACATAATCAACAAGAGAATCATAAGTATCATCGGACGTGTTATCTAGCTTGACTACTTCAACAAGCTTCATCAAAGGAACTGGATTGAAGAAATGGAGACCAGCATAACGTGAATGGTTAGTAACATGGATACCAATATCCTTGCAAGGCAATGATGAAGTGTTTGTAGCTAAAATGACATTTGGACAATCCTTGAATTGTTCACTTAGATTTTTGAACAAATTTTGCTTGACATCCAATACCTCGGTGATAGCTTCAATAACCAAGAGATTATCAGTTGACTTTGGCTGGATATTTGTTGAAAATGTTATCCGTCCCATAATTTCATCTACATTTATGGATGAATTTTTAGACTTCATCTTTTCCAAATTAGATTTGATTCTAGCAGCAGCTTTATCAAGAGCACCTTGGTTAACATCCTGAATAACGATTGAATTGAAATGAGGTCCACTTTGAGCTGAGGCTTGGGCAATTCCTGATCCCATTAGGCCACTTCCAATAATCAACATGTTTTCAACCTTCATGGCATCCAGTTGTTTGCTTGTACAAATTGATCTACCAAAATAGAGATTGGTTCCATAACCAATCTTTGATGATGATGATAACAGGGCACGAAACATGGTGGATAAAATCAATAAAAATGAGCGAGTTAGTTATAACTTATAACAAGTAATTTGATTTATTTAAGATGAAATCGAAAATAAAACATAAAAAATTCTTCGTTTATCTCGTCGCTATGAAAACAAGTGCATTAAGACTTGAGTTAAGCTGTACTTGCCCTGTCAAGGCTGGAAAACTCATTTCATATCTAATACAATCAAACCTTATCATTTCAATTATGTAATAAAATCTCATTTGTAATAACACTGATCTTAATTATGAACTAATTATTCTTCGGATATCATAATATGTTTCTCTTTCTTGATTAAATCGATCGGTTGTGACTATTTTGTTTCTATCATTTTCCACCAATTAATTAGTTGACCAGATTGGAGATAAATTCCTATTGATATCAAATATCACCAATGATTTATTTGAACTCTCTTTGCCTCTCATTTAATCCAATGTACCAGGATAAAATCAAGATGAGTGACTGGCAGTCAATAGATTGTGAATCTTTCATAAATAATTCAGATATTTACATGAAACAAAATCTACAAATCTTGATATTTTTTCCACCAACATAGACCATCATGCTCTCAAACGGCATCTAATCAACTTACAAGGGAAGATTCTCAGATCGCAAAGTTAGATCTTGTTGAAATTTCGTAGGTACATAGCGCATGCGCTCCTCTGACCATACGTAATCGCTTTTGATTCGCAATTGTCTAGTTTTTGTTTAGCGTTCATTCGAAATTTCAGACATTTTGTATTTTCAATAATTACAATTCATATATTTCGTGTTTTTTTATTAAAATTGAGATGGATATCAACCCAATCAACATCTGTAATCTTATTAGAGAGGATTTAATACGTGAATTCCCTAATCAAACATCTACACCTGTGACCCTTGAGGAAAAACGCTTCTCATCATATCTTTGTGAACAAATCAAAGCGAAAATAGCCCATTCTCTGGTAATTGAGGATGAAATCTCCCTTGTATTTGCTGATGAAGCTGATAGTGATGATGAAGTCGAAATTCTTTATGAAGATCCTGGAGCTGGTCCATCAATTATTAAAACAAGTCAATCGTCAGAGTCAACGTCTTCACAAACTTCCAGTTCAACATCAAGCCAGGAAGAAGTAGTCGCAGCTAAGCGGAAAAAAGCTATCGAGTTGAGACTTTCAGAAGCGAAAAGACGTGAGATTTATGAATACAAGCAAAGTGGTAAATCTTACAATGAGTGTATGAAAAAATTCAAAAAGCCATTACACGAATTGAGAGCTATATGTTCAAGTTTTGAATCTGGCGGATCAAATGAATTCAAGCTCATGAAAATTCATGAATTTACTAAAGATAAATTTACAGAGGCGCGACTAGCTGGTAAAATTATTCACTATTGGCACATTCAGCAATGGGCTCGGGAACGAGCAACACAATTAGGAATTACCAATTTCAAGGCATCAAAGACGTTTTTATTGAATTTCAAGCGAAATAATGGAATATGTTCGAGAAAAATCACTCGTTTTGCAACAGCTAGAACTATCACTGGAGAGACAGAAATTTTGGAAAAAGCAAGAGAATTTGTAGAAGAGGTTAACCAGCTTATTTCAAATGAAAATATACCTGATGAATTTATTTGGAACACTGACCAATCAAAAATTGAATACGAGATGACATCCAATCGTACACTATCAATGAGAGGAGAGAAAGATACAGTCGCAACAGTGCAGAATCTTTCAGCAACAACTCACTCTTATACAATACAACTAATGACAAACAAAGCTGGCTATCTTGGCAAAAAAATTTACATTTGTTTTCAAGAGACAAAGGGTGAATTTGGTCCTCGAGTCAATTCCGATATTCAAAGAATCATGGATGCCTATCCTAATGTTCATGTAGAGGCAAGTAAAAGTGGTAAAATGGAGCGTAAAAATCTAATAGGTTTCGCTCAATCAGTTGCCAAGGACATTTTCGGACCTAGAAATATTTTATTGCTCGACTCATTCACTGGCCATCTTGATACAAGCATTTACACAGAGAATATTGGTGAAAAAGAGGTAATTCTGAAGTTTATTCCACCAAAAGCGACTAAATATATTCAACCGCTGGACGTCTATTTCTTCAGACAATACAAAATTATCATGAGAAGAGCTTCAGACTACGTCAGAACGATTTTGCCCACAGAAGAAGCTACTATCAAGTTAAAAGACAGAGAGTTTATCGTCAAATTGAATTCGGTTACTCACAATCAGTTATCAGCAGAAATTTTCAGACCAATGCACAAATACGCCTGGCAAAAATCTGGTTATGAAATGTCTGAACCTATTGAAAGCTTTGAAAACGTTCTGGAAGCAATTTTCAATCATCAAAATGAAAACTGCAATGAAATTTCATGTGAAAATCCATGTTTTATCATTTGTGCCTACTGTAGGAAAAATTTATGTTTCAATCATTTTGTATTAACCAATATTCATATGCATTATAATAGTGATGAATAAAGAATTTGATTTTGATTTTCGAAAAAACTATTGAGTTGCGAATCAAATGCACGCGTATGCTAATTATATCAGTAATAAGCTATGAATTTACCAAGTTTGAAAAAAATCTGACTTTGCGATCTGAGAACCTTCCCTTGTTAGTAATCAACGACACTAAAAAAGGATGACAATCAAGTTAATAAATCAGTGTCAAGCTGAGGTAAACAAACAAAGTTGAATGAAAAGGCACCAAAGACAAACCGGTTACCATTTTAAAAGACTTACCTCAGCTAATCCAGTCTCCAGTTAACCAGTAGTCATTTTTTCTCATCTCATCCATTCTAACGGATTAAGGATACAGTGAAGAAACCACCAATCACATTATCTAGATGCTGATTATATTAGCTGATCAATGAAACAGATTAAAGATGAGGCACAAAAAGAGGCATAAACTTGAAAAAAAGCGAGGTTTATAGTGTAACAACTGTAAACACAAGGAAAAGCAAAAGAGAGGGAAATTCAATTTGACAGACAAGGATGAATTTTGTTGACATTAGAAGCATTTTAATTCAATAATAAAATCCATTTGATCCAGTTGATCAATGTTAATAAAGAAAATCAATTGTAACCCTATTTAATTGGACATTGTTAATAACAATTTCAAGCAAAACTCGATGCATCAGCATAGTTGGTCAATTATGTTTTATGTGAATGTTTTTCAAAAACAACTTCCATCCGATGGCTGCATCTTTATATTAACCTGATTAACTTAATTAATTGTTATCACCATCACCACTACAATAACAAAAACAACACTGATTATCAGGGTGATGATAGTAATAATCTTGACCAGGAATACCAGTTTAACCTTAAGGCTACAGGTTAATATACAATTACATTAGCCAAAGTATCAAGCTAAATCAGCAGAAAAGTTGAACATAATTATCAAGGATCAACCGAAACAATAATCATATCCAATTAACTGTATCAAAACCTCTTGACCAACCTAATAATGCTTTTAATTAACACAGAACCAAGAAACTCTCTGATTATAACCATCAATATAATAGAAAAATTTGCCAACTGAAACAAGAATTTACTTTGATTGAATTAATTTCTTTAACATGATTGTAATGGTTAACCAAAAATGTAACTCTTCACCTCAATAGTCAAGTCCATGTTTGTAATGTCTCTGTTACCATGAAGAATGAAATTCAAATCTAAGGTTGATTACATGATGAATATTGGCTATCAGATTAAACTCAGACTTATTAATTAACTGACAAATAGACAACAGTTAAGATTGAATTTGAAATGAGATCAAACCATCATTCGATTCGAATCATTCAGATGATCAAGATTTTGATCAACAAGACAAATTTGCCATTGAAGAGGCCAAACCTCAAGTTGTTAGTAAAAGTCTCAATACAATCAAAACAAATACAATTTGCATTGACGGAATAATATAATAAAAAACTTAAAAGCACAAATTGTATTCAATTTAATGGTGAATAATCAAATAACAATAAAGGTTTTATACTTTTGACACTAAAGCAACAACATTAAGAAAATGAAATCATCTTTTATCACCTTTTTGAGTAACCAAAATTGAATTTGAATAAAAGGAGTAAAATCAAGTCAAGGTTAACTGCCCACTGGTCAAGGTGTGGCTACTTCAACTTGAAAGTTAAAAAATAACCTTTTCTTAAAAAAAAGGACTAAACCTTTTTTCGCCTCAACAACACAATTGTCATTTCAATGTCCTTTTCATATGTTAAACATGTCCATGTTATTTGACCTTACATTCAAATCTATTATTATTATCATATTATTATGTTATAATATTGTCATTGTTATCAATATATTCACAGAATCTTGGGAAAAGTTGAAAAAAAGGTAAAACTTTTGAATAACGAGCAACAACTATCAATAGTTGACCTTATTTCCAATGAAAACTCAACTCTTTCAACTCTGACCTTAACATCTTTGCGTAGGTTGGATAATAAATGTCCGTTTTAAATGAATTCAACAAATTTCTCAACAAATAAAATTCATTTCACCGCAGATGAACATAAATTGGAGTGAAGCAAAACAGCAATAAAGCAATCAACGTTTCTCATCCATAAATGTCTCAATCTAAATCAGTGTTGGCTCTGATCCATCCAAGCCTTCTGAACTTTATCTAAAGCTGCATTCAATCAAACCTTTTAATTCAATTCTTATCAGCTTTTTAAGAAGTTCAATTATGGGTTTAGAAGAGTATGAGAGAAGAAGCTCTTGCAAGGGCGTTTGGCATTTGCTGAACTGAGCATAAACACCATAATGATATTGAAATTTACTGGTCAAGACTGAACCATCATAGCTGTGAATAGCTGAATTGAAGCAGAATGAAGAAATAGGAAAATGAACTTCTCAAGATGCTATTGTTTGGTTATAATTCATTTGTGCATTTTGTTCAATCTGTTAACCATGTAAATGAACTGATTGTTGCTCTTTCAAGTGAAGCTTAAAATAAACGTTTTAAATCAATTAACTTTTAAATATTTGATTCTCTCAACCAATCGAATTAAATTAGAAGATAAAATGGAAAGGTAAACAGCATCACCTTTTACCATAATTGAAATTGTTTCTATTCCTTATCGCTCCAATTGACTTTCAATTTGTCTACCTGAATCAACATGAATATGCAACAACTTGAAACATTTTGAAACTTACATATCATTTACCTTTCACCTTTCAATATCATTTTAAAACCATTGACCTAAATTGAAAGGCAAATCTCGAACCAGAAAAACGAGAAATTGCCTAAAAATGAGAATATAAAAAAAAGAATAAAAAGGAAACATTTATTTTATTCGTTTCATTTCATCTGAATAATAACATGATAAAAGAGAGTAAAAACTCGAAAGGTTTGATTCGATATCGAAGCTAAAACATTAAACTGATTGAAGTGAGCAAAGTTGAAACACAAACCAGGAATGATTCAATAAACAGACAAACAACTTTGAATTAAAATCTTAATTCAGTTTAAATTAATTACAGTG